AGACTGGTACAGCGAAGCCACCACACTGCCGAAAGGTGGACTTGTTCTGGAGAGAATTCTTGGAGCCAGGATGGTGGCTGTGGGGGAAGCGGGAGACCGCCAGCCTCCCACACAAGAGGGGCCACGCACCCACCGAGTGCCCAGGTGGTGGGGGGGCACACCACCAACGGCCTCCCATGCTGGGGCGGGGGGGGGGGCGGCGCACCCCACTGGCCACCTGCATAGGAAGTGGGGGATGGGATGCATGCCCGCCATCCAGAGGTTTGGGTTTCCTTGGACAGGCCAAAGAAGACGATTACCTATACAAAGGATTGCTGAAAGTCACTGTGAGTCTGATGACCTTAACAGTGGCAGCATGCACAAGAGGACCGACATCCTAAATGCACCACATATTTTGTTGTTGAATGCTTCTGCCAAAAGATGGTTAGACCTGGGGGGAGTCTGGTCACAATTCTCAGGTTCCCTTTATCATATATAAAGGGGGAGGGCAGTGACACCTACTTCAAAATATAGTATGACCACTTATGGGGGGGTAAAAGTGGCAGTGCTGGAATTGGAAACACTATCCTTGACCACAGAGTCCTCAGTCAGGCGAGGGGACCAGACTGGGGTAGGGGCAATTGGAGGGGGAGTATACCAGCCAGCTCCTGGGGGGTGTTGCCCTGCTCAGAATGGGCTGCCCTCGGCCCCTGGCTCAGGGCGAGTCATCACGGCCCTGTGCCCGGGGCGGGCTGCCCTTGGCCCCTGGCTCAGGGTGAGCCGTCGCAGCCCTCAGGGTGAGCTCCTCAGTCCCCAGATTGTGCCATCTGACCCCTGGGTGAGGAAGGGGGAAAAAAAAAAGAATGCCTAGGGTATCCAGATAATGTTACCTAGGCCACCTTCTGCCACCCTCCCCCTCCCAGTAAACCTGAAAGCAACACCCTCAAAGCCCTTCTATTTGTAACTCACAAGTTTGTTCTCTCTAGGTTTGCTCCCTTTCCTATAGGTAACCTTAACACTGAGTTTTACTCCAGAATTGACCCTAAACCCAGTGCCAGTGACAAAAAGGAAATGCAACTGACAGCTAAGGAACCAAAGGAGGATGGAGCCTCTAGGTTCAACCAGTCATCCCCACTGGACCCAACTGGGAAAACACTTTTCAGTCCAGAAGGGAGCAAATGACAGGAAAATATCTTTTAACAGAGCAAGAAGGCAAGCAGCTTTAACCCAAGGTCACCAGTAAGGTGATAAAGCATCCTCCCTTCCCCCTTTACATCTACGCCCCTGTCAAAGGCCATGGCTATCAGGAGAGTCATCTCAGCACCTCCAAAAAGATGCATAAAGAACATCTGGGCCATGTAGCCCCACAAAGAAATATTCTTGTGTTCAGTAAGCAAATCAGTGATCATTTTGGGTGTGGTGACAGTGGAGAGACACATGTCCACAAAAGAGAGGTTTCCAAGCAGGAAGTACATGGGAGAATGAAGGGAGGAACTAAATGTCACTGTGACCATAATGAGGATGTTTCCCAAAAGAGTACCACCATAGATCAAGGAAAATGCCACAAACAAGAATATCTGAAGTTCCCATGGTCCAGAAAAACCTAGTAAAATAAATTCAGCCACCACAGATTCATTTTTCAGATCCATTTACTCAATTCAGAAAGGTTCCAGATGTTCTTTAAGTATGAGGAAAACAAAAAGAAAATCACAGCACTGATATTTTATTATTTCTGTTTGAAAATTAATAATAGGTTATACAAAAGCATATTAGGAGCATACAAATATATCAGGATATCAGGGTACATGATATAAGATTATTTAAAGGGTCATATTACTCTGAAATTATATGATTACTCAGTAATTTAAAATCTTTCTAAGCAACACAAAATTGATTCGACCACCATCCTTGGTGTATTAAACTTCTTTAGCTTTCTATATTCTTTTAACTTACTTGTTTTGAAACTCCAGTTTAAGAACCAACATTTTCAGGAGATTATTAAAATTAAAACCTTGTTTTACTCTATGTAATTCTACTTACTATTTTCTTCCTCTTTTATAACAATGATGTGCACTACTTTGAAGGCAGATTTTCTGGATCTCTGGGAATCCAACTATCAGATGGATTTGTTAAAATATTGAGACTGTTGTCCTTTATGACCAGGAGAGATGCTTATGCTTAATTTCTTATCCTATAGTACACTTCTTTCTGGGAAATTGATTAAAGCAGCCAGGAAGAACATTGGGTGATTGCTCAAGATAGTACTTGCAATTATGTGTAATCAAGGTGACTAAAATTCATAGTCACCCTGTGAACAATGACTCTGAACTTTGTCCTATCTTGAACCAACCTCACTGCCTCTGACATAACTGACTCCAATGTCACAGTCAAGGTGTTAATCCATTTCATGCAAGGTCTTCCTTGCATGTGCTGACCTTCTACCCTTTCAAGCATAAAATCCTTCTTCAAGGATTGATCCCTCCTGACAACATACCCAAAGAATGTGAGATGAATCTTCAAAAACCTTGTCTCCAAGGAACAACTTGGCTTCATCCTGACCTGTTTTCTCTTCGTGATCCATTTGATTTAGCAAATATACCCCCTTCTTACACTACTCTCAAGCTGTCTTCTCATGTACTTTCTAGAATTTGGTGAGAAGTTCTTTTTTATTTGGTTTTTTAAAAAATTAATGATTTCCAATTTTTTGTGAACATAACCACAGACTTTCAAATTAGTTAATACATCTATCATTTATCCTCAAGTCTTTAATTCCTTCCAAATTCAGCACTTAATCTATTGTCGTGTTATTTTTATTCAAAGATAAATTTACAGTTTATGAGAATAGTTTCATATTTAGATATCCATATACAGTATAAAAAGGAGCTCTGGTGGTTTGATAGTTTTGTGTTCCACTGTAAACCAAAAGGTTGATGGTTCAAACCTACCCACATAGTGTTTTGTGTGATAGACTTAGTGATCTCTTTTCATAAAGGTTTGACCCTAGATAATTCTATGGGGCAGTTCTCTTTTGCCTCCTGGGATTGTTATGAACTGAAATTGACTTGATGATGCTAAGGAACAACACACAATATATGATCATTTTACCTACAGACTGAATTAACTCAAACCTCAAACTCACTACAGTGGAGTTAGTTCCAACTCACACCAACCACCTATCTGTTTCAGTAACTACTAGTACATGGACCAGTAGAATAGTATTGAGAATCTAGAAATAAGTTCATCTACCTGTGGACAACAGATTTGGCAAAAAGATAAAATCCATTAAGTGAAGAAAAGGTAGCCTATTTAACAAATGATGCTGACTATTCAGGTGATAGTTTAGTTGACCTTCTGGTGGGTATTCAGCGGCAGTTTCATCACAGGAGGAGATTGCACATCCTTCTCCCGTGGAGCTGCTGGTAGCTTCAAACCACATACCTTTGGGATTGAAGTGAAGCTTCTGACTTGTTATTACTTTTACAACTGGATATGCCAATTCTGTGACATGCTACACAACATCTAGATTTCAGACATTGTTCTTTTCACATTTTTTAACAGTTTGATAATTGGGATAGTCATCTTTGCTCGTCTAAAAACCTCTATTCTGTTGAATTTGAAGCAAAGGGGTATACCATGGCTTGGTAGCTGCATTTATTTCCAGATTCGTGAAAGAATTGATTTATTCTCTTGTTAGGAAAAAGTTTTAAATTAATGACTACAAACTGAATTGAACTCAATGGTAGTAGGTGGGCTATATATAGGTCCCTGGGTGTCACAAGCAGTTAACACTCAACTACCAACCATAGATTGGTAGCTCAAACCCACACAGTGGCATCAGGGAAGAAAACCTGAGGATCTCTGGAGCAGTTCTACTTCGTAGCATAAGAACATTATAAGTCAGAATCAACTTTACAGCAGTGATTTGCTTTGGCTTATTGTTTTAATCCCCAAAAGAGGCATATGAAATAAAACTTAATTGGGATGGGAGTGTCGGAGACAGTACGACTGGCACAGGACAGAGCAGAGTTTAGGGCTATTGTACATAGGGTCGCTATGAGTAGCAAGCAACTCGATGGCACATAACAACAACAACAGCAATGCTATTTAAATATGTTGTTGTTGTTAAGTGCCATCGAGTCATAGGTGACTCATAGTGACCCTATGAATGAACGACATAGACTTGTGTAACTTTTGTCCTTTCTCCAGGTTCATAGGGTTTCCAGAGGGAAGCTATTTCAGAAGTGAATGCCACTCCTGCTTCTAAGCTTGTTTTAATCGGGGAGCTCGACCAAAGACTGTCCACCATGGGTAACCATTCTCATATTTGACACATCATTGTCACAGTGTTCAGCTTCACAGCAACCACAAGTTACCTCTGTACAGCAAATGGACAGACCAGGACTATATGACCTAGAAGAATGTTTCACCAAAAACAATTAAAAACAGTCCGGAGGGCCATGGATTAGAGTCACCCACCTTTGGCTTGGTAGCATCACTTTCTGCCCACTAGGCCAACTGACCTCTCTATATACTGTGTTTATTAAAAGATAGGTAGAAAATACTCTTAATTAGAAAAGTAGAATATAGATTATGTAAATGTAAGAACTGATTCTGGGGTCTAGCATTTATAATTTTTGTTGCAAGTTTGTTAAAAGCCAAAGTTCTAAAATTCAATTTCATTTTAATAGTATATAAATAACATAATTTATTTTTATTGTCATGAAGAAGAGATAATGCATGCAAAATACCACATTCTTGGTAAGATCTCCATAAATGGTGATTAGAATCTAATTAGTAGATAGCAAAACTTGAAATTACAGCATTAGGGAATATAATTCTGTTTTAATAATTTGAAGTTAGAGGCACAACCCACAGTGTTTTATGATATGTATGATTGCATAAGTAAGAGTTATCATTACCGACCTATGACTTATGCTTGTAAAGTACAAAACTCTACATTGTATTATATTTTGATGATGATAATGGTAACCATCTCTTCTTTGATTATTATAATATCTCAGTTAAAAGGTTGACACAAAATTCACATGCTTGGTTTTTATTTTCTTTATTGCTTTCTTCATGTCTTTATTCCTGAATGTGTAGATAAGTGGATTTAAAAGAGGTGTAAAAATTGTGTAAAATACAGATAGGATCTTATCTATGGAAATACTGCTGAATGGCCACACATAGATAAAGATACAAGGTCCAAAGAACAGTACCACCACTGTGATGTGGGCTGAAAGAGTGGACAATGCCTTAGAAGATCTACTAGTGGAACGATGTTGGACATTAATCAAGATGATGCTATAGGAGATGAGCAGAACAATGAAACAGAACAAAGAAAGTACTCCACTATCTGCAATGACCAGCAGCTCCAAGACATAAGTGTCAGTGCAGGCAAGTTTGATAACCCGAGGAAGATCACAGAAAAAACTGTCCACTACGTTGGGTCCACAGAATGGTAATGTTGCTGTGAAAATCATTTGACTCATAGTGTGCACAAAACCAGTGGTCCAGGAGAGAAGTGCAAGCCCAATACAAACGCGATGGCTCATGATTGTTTTGTAATGGAGGGGTTTGCATATGGCAATGTATCTGTCAATTGCCATGGCTACGAGCAACATCATCTCACTTCCACCTAAAAGATGAAGGAAAAACATTTGGATCATGCAGCCTTCATAAGAGATGGCCTTATATTCTCTAAGTAAGTCACAGATCATCTTGGGAGTAGCAAAGGAAGCCAAGGACATATCAATAAAGGAGAGGTTGGCCAGTAGAAAATACATAGGAGAGTGCAATTGAGGGTCCACTTTCACCACATAGATAATGGTGAGATTGCCTAGAACAATGGCTGTGTAGATAATAGAAAAAAAGAAGAATAGTAAAATCTGTAACTCATGAGATTCTGTAAGTCCTAGCAAAATAAATTCGGACACCATGGAGTAGTTTTGCCTTGCCATTTGTTTATCTGTTGATGTATGTTACCTAAAATAAAATGAAAATGAATTAAAGTTTATGAAATAAAGTCAAAAGCCAAAATGATGTCTTAACTACCTTCACCTACTAAACGTAACTGAAATGTAGGAAATAAAACAATATTAAACAAATAAAAATATATTTTTAAAAAGTTATAATTAATGGAGATTGTAAACAGATTTTTAAGATGCTTTTAAAAAACTGAAGCTTTTGATAATATTAAGCAAAGCATATGTCTCAAATGGTCATAGTATGTGGAGGTCTTACCAATTGTTTGCAATATAATATTTAGAAGATGATTTCTCACTTGAATTCCATTTCTATGCTGCAAAATATTATAAAGCATATAAGTGGATTCTGACTCCGTGGCTATCTAATTGAGAAACAGAATTCAAGTAAGTGGAAATGAGTTGATAAGGTATATTGTTGTTGTATTATGCACCATACAGTCAACTACAACACATAATAACCCTATGTACAATTTTTCTAAACCTTGTCATATTCTTTGACATCTTCACCATCTCTGTCCAGCGCTTGTGAGCTCATTGTTCTAGTTGCTGTGTCCATCTATTTTTTAGGATCTTCCTCTCTTCATCTGATCTTCCACCTTTTCAAGCATTATGTCCATTTCTAAGGATACTCTACTCCTTTCAACATGCCTAAAATATGTGAGATGAACTTTCACCATCCTTGCCTTTAAGGAGCTTCAATTTCTCCAAGAAAGACTTATTTATTCTCTTGGACATGTATTGTGTACCATAGAGTCAAAACTGACCCATAGCTGACCCTCTGGCAGGTTTTTGGAGGCACTTACTCACACAGGAGGAGATTGCCATCCTTCTCCTGCAGAGTAGGTGGTGGCATAAACCTTTGCTTTTGGGATTGCAGCCAGGTTCTTGCCACTAGGTCACCAAGTGTATATATATATATATTGTTGATGTTATGTGCCGTCAAGTTGCTTGCGACTCATAGCGGCCCTATGTACAACAGCCCCAAACTCTGCTCTGTCCTGTTGCCAATCACACTGTCTCCAATACACCCATCCCAAATACCCCAGTCACTGAATGAATCCACCTCATAGAGGGTCTTCCCCTCCTGTCCTGTCCCTCCACCCTACCAAGCATGATGTCCCTCTCCAAGGACTGGTCCCTCCTTACCACATGTCCAAAATATCTTAAATGGAGCCACAAAATGCTTGCTTCCAAGGTGCTGCCTGGTTTAACCCTTTCCGGGATGAATATGTTTGTTTTTGGAGCAGTTCATGGTACCCTCAAACTCTTCTCCAGCACCACAGCTCACAGGCATCAATTCTCCTTCTGTCCTCCTTAGTCACTGTCCATCTCTATGATGCATAACAAGTGATAGCAAAGACCATGGGCTGTATCAGATGCACCTTAGTCTCCAGACAGACATTATTGCTCTTCAGTACTTTGGAGAGGTCTCTAATAGCAGACTTTCCCATGGCAATACATCTTCTAATTTCCTGGCTGCTGGTGCCTAGAGTGTTGACTGTGGAGCCAACCAAACTAAAACTGTGTACAATCTCAGTCTCTTCACTATCGATCCTGATGCTGCCAATTGGCCTAGTGCTGAGAATCATTGTCTTCTTGACATTGAGCTGAGTCAATCCATATTGGAGGCTGCAGTCCTTGACCCTCTGCAGCAAGCACTTCAGGTCCTCCTCAGTTTCAGCAAGCAGGGTTGTGTAACCTGCATAACACAGATTGTTGATAGATCTTCCACCAATCTTGGCTCCACATTTCTCCTCATAGAGCCCAGCCTCCTGGATAATCTGCTCTGCATACAGGTTGAAAAGTTATGGAGACAGGACACATCCTTGGTGTACGCCCTTCCCAATTTTGAACCATGTAGTGTTTCCTTGCTCTGTTCTGACGACTGTCTCTTGGTCCAAGTATAGGTTTCTCCTTAGCATGATCAAGTGTTCTGAGATTCCCATTTTCCTCAGAGTCATCCACAGTTTGTTATGATCCACACAAACACCTTTGCATAGTCAATGAAACACAGATATACATTCCTCTGGTATTTCCTGCTTTCAGCTGAGATCCATCTAACATTAGCTACAATATCCCCAGTACCACGACCCCTTCTAAACCCATCCTGGACTTCTGGCAGTTCTTTGCTGATGTGTTGTTCCAGTCGTTTTTGGATAATCATCAGCAGAATCTTACTTGCATGTGAAATCAATGAGATTGTTCTAACGTTTCCACACTCTATTGGGTCACCCTTCATTGGAAGGGGAGCAAAAGAGATCTCTTCCAGTCAGTTGGCCAAGTGGTTGTTCTCCAGATTTCTTGGCACAACTTGTTAAGCACATCCAGGGCTGCATCTGTTAGTTGAAATATGTCAATTGCTATACCATCTATTCCTGGGGCCTTATTTTTTGCTATTTCCTTCAAAGCAGCTTGAACTTCTGCCTTCATCACCATAGACTCTTGCTCATGTGTTGTTTCATGAAATTCTTCTGAGTCTGCCAATTCCTTTCGATACAGTGACTCAGTATATTCTTTCTATCTTCTTTTAGTACTTCCTGAATCATTTAATATTCTAGCTAAAGCTTCCTTGATTATAGCAACTTGAAGTTTGAATTTGTTCTTCAGTTCCTTGAGCTTAGGAAATGCTGAGGGAGTTTGGTCCTTTTGATTTTCTGACTCCAACTCCTTGCACATTTCATTGTAATATTTTACTTTGTCATCCCGTGCTACCTTTTGAAATCTTCTACTCAACTCTTTAGTATGTTGAATTCTTCCTTGTGCTTTGGCTTCTCTGTGCTCCAGTGCAATTTTCAAAGTCTCTTCTGACATTCATTTTGGTCTTCTCTACCTCTTCTGTCTTTGCAATGGCCTTTTGCACTCTTCCTGGATGATACCCTTGATATCCTCCCACAACTCATCTGGTCTTTGCTCATTAGTGTTCAAGACCTCAAAACCTGTTCCTGAGATGGTTCTGAAATTCAGGTGGGATAGATTCAAAATCATATTTTGGTTCCCGTGGACTTGGTTTAATTTTCCCCAGCTTCAGATTGAACTTGCATATGAGTAGTTGGTGGTCTGTACCACAGTCAGTTCCTGGCCTAGTTTTCACGGCTAATATTGAGCTTCTCTAGCAGTTCTTTCCTCAGATATAATCAATCTGATTCCTGTGCATACCATCAGGTGAAATGCATGTATATACACACACTTATATATATACACACACATATATATATACTTATATATATATATACACACATATACACTTATATATGTATACTTATATATATCATTTAAAACCTGAAAATCAGTCATAGTTGCTTCTAAAACTATCAATACAGTGGCCAAATTGAGAAGAGCTTCCATTTATGTTTTCCCTAAAGTATAAGAAGAGACCAGATATTTTGGTACTTCTCTCATGAAGAGTGACTTCATTTTCCAAACTATGAGTTTAACAGACTGGGAGTTAAAATGCTCAGAGATAGCTGCTGCTGAATTTTAACTGCCCCGTAGACTTCTTTTGACTTCCAGTGGATAAATGATAGATCTGCTAAACAATCTACTTTTAGACATAGTGTAATTTATAAGAATATTATTAATACAAAGCTCTGTTAAATGAAGGGAAACCGTAAAGGAACACTATCATGTTGTCCAGGAGAGATAAAGCACACCCACACCCAGATTAAAAAAAAAATAGGCAAACTAGCATTTTTGAAGAAAGATATCCTAGATATGTAAGAGAAGATAGAAAAAAAGAACATTGGTTAAGAGAATAATGGGAACAAAGAGTATAAAGATGTAAAGATTTCATTTATTGTTGGAGACTTCATTAATGGAAAGAAGGAGAAAACACAGAGTGCTTTTAAAAGATTTTGTAGTTTTAACTAACTGAATTATATAAGAATTATTTCTATGTTAGACCCATACATAAATAATTTAACATATAACTTTCTTCAGAATATTTAAATAAAATAAAAATATGCTAGTAAAGTTAAAGTTTGCTTATTTTTTATATTTTGTGTATGTGTATTGGTATGTTTGGAGCAAATAAATGGTATTCTGATGTGTGTAACATTGTGGAAATAAAATATATATTTTTCCTGATTAATTAGTTGTTTTTATGTGCTGTCAAGTTGCCTGCGACTCATAGCAACTCTATGTACTAGAGCCCTAAACTCTGTTCTATCCTGTGCCAATCTCACTGTCTCCGACACACCTACCGCCATTGCCCTAATCACTGAATCAATCCACCTCATAGAGGGTCTTCATCTCCCGCAAGGTCTCTCCACCCTTCCAAGCATGACATCCCTCTCCAAGGACGTATCCCACCTTGCAAAATGTCCAAAGTATGTCAGACGAAGCTTCAGAATCCTTGCCTTCATGGAACAGTCTGGTTTCTCCCTCTCCGTGACAAACTTGTTTGTTCCCCTGGCGGTCCATGGTGTATTCAGTACTCTTCTTCAGCACCACAACTCAAAAGCATCAATTTGCCTTCGATAATCCCTAGTCATTGTCCAGCTTTCTGAAGCATAACAAGTAATTGCAAGGACCGGACCCTGGATCAGGAGCACTTTAGTCTTCAGATGACATCATTGTTCTTCAGTACTTTGGAGAGGTCTCTAACAGCAGACTTTCCCAATGCAATTCATCTTTTAATTTCCTGCCTGCTGATACCAAGCCCATTTCTAATGTATATTAATTTAAAAATAGAAATCTAAATGTAATTACATAGAAATAGAGACATGGTATGCTGTTTAATATTAAAATGTTACTAAACCTTCCACAGATTTAAATAACATTTTAATGAAAATGCACAAAATTATATATATGCATATATTTGGGTGAAATTCTAATAAATCTTAGAAAAACAAAATTTCATTAACTATAAACACTGTTAATCTCCACAATAATAATTGAAGTTTTAAAATAATATTCTAATTTTTATGAATTACAATTCTTTAAAATTTAAAAGTTTAAATAAATGATGTTATTGC